CCCGCGCCGCTGGACGCAGGGCTTAGTGACGCGCTGAACACAGGACCCACCTGAGAATGACCCTGCAGAGCCCTCCATAGATGCTGCACAGCCCGTCTGAGACTGTCTATGGTGGGCTCTGAAGGGGTCTCAGGTTGGCTGGTCAGGGCTGCATCCCTCCCTCCTTTCCTTCCTTCCTAGCTCCTCTTACCTGCACACATGGCCTCGTCTGCCTCCGGACCGGCCAGAAGTGACGTCACTTCCGGCCAGTCCGACATCAGATGAGCAGCGTCGCTGATGGGGCCCTAGCTTGTCTCAAAGCCACACCCCCCCAGGCTGCCCGGGCCCCTTACATGAGTATCTGCCGTACCCCCCTGATGGCTGCCCTGCAGTAGGAATGCAAAAGTAGCTTGAAGCAGGAGCAAGTCAGATGTAGGTCAGCAGCAGGTCAGATGTAGGTCAGCAGCAGGTCAGATGTAGGTCAGCAGCAGGTCAGATGTAGGTCAGCAGCAGGTCAGATGTAGGTCAGCAGCAGGTCAGATGTAGGTCAGCAGCACGTCAGATGTACCTGAAGGCAAGCTTTGCCCATCGACACAAGCCCAAAGCCAGCCAACATAGACTCCTATTATTGTCCCACGCCGAGACAAGAGGGACCAGTCACTGGGGTCCATGTCGTGGTTTACATAGGTCAGCACTCTGCCACCTATGGCGTTTATAATATTAATATCTAGAAGGAATTTGTCATGTTTCATGTCGTTGTCGTCTCCATGACAGGTATAAGATGACCTGTGAATACACGTGGCCCAACCACCTGATGGAATCCGACATGGAAGCCACCAAAGCTCTGATAGATCAGCATTACTTCCAGGAGGACGTGGCTTATGGCTACACAAAGGTTTTTATCCGGACACCCCAAACCCTCTTCAGTTTGGAGCATGAGAGGAGCCAGCTGATCCCCATCATTGTCCTCCTGATCCAGAAGGTAAGTGGAGGCTGCGGAATCATTGCCGACCACAGGCAGGGATGGCAGGTCAGAGGTCAGCTCTACCAGGGGTGGGGGCTGAAGATCTTTTCCCCGGTCCGGGTGATGTGAGATCGGCACAAAGTGACATTGATGTTCCCTTCTCTGTACAGCAAGGGGAACGAGCAATGCCTGCTGGGAATCTGGGTGTGAATACTCGTCCTTGACCTTTAAGGAACGCTGACATTGTCCAGTTATTGCATCATTGATACTTTATATACACAGGAGTACATTATATATACACAGGAGGACATTATATACACAGGAGGACATTATATATACACAGGAGGACATTATATATACACAGGAGGACATTATATATACACAGGAGTACATTATATATACAGGAGGACATTATATACACAGGAGGACATTATATATACAGGAGGACATTATATATACACAGGAGGACATTATATATACACAGGAGGACATTATATATACACAGGAGGACATTATATATACACAGGAGGACATTATATACACAGGAGGACATTATATACACACAGGAGGACATTATATACACAGGAGGACATTATATACACACAGGAGGACATTATATACACAGGAGGACATTATAGATATATTACAGATAGATTCATCAGTGATACTTTTTACATACAATCTAAAGATACATTGTAGTTATTTCATAGATTTATTATAGATGCATGGGCTCTCAGGCAGTCAGTGGGGCTCTCAGGCAGTCAGTGGGGCTCTAAGGCGGTCAGTGGGTCTCTAAGGCGGTCAGTGGGGCTCTAAGGCGGTCAGTGGGGCTCTCAGGCAGTCAGTGGGGCTCTCAGGCAGTCAGTGGGGCTCTAAGGCAGTCAGTGGGGCTCTCAGGCAGTCAGTGGGGCTCTCAGGC